TTTTTTTTTGAGACGAAGTCTCGCTCTGTTGCCCAGGCTAGAGTGCAGTGGCACGATCTCAGCTCACTGTAACCTCCACCTCCCAGGTTCTAGCAATTCTGCCTCATCAGCCTCTCTAGTAGGTGGGATTACAGGCATGTGCCACCACACTTGGCTAATTTTTTTGTATTTTTAGTGGAGACAGGGTTTCATCTAGTTGGACAGTCTGGTCTCGAACTCCTAACCTCAAGTGATCTGCGTACCTCAGCCTCCCAAAGTGCTGGGAGTACAGGCGTGTGCCACCACACCCAGCCTGAATATATATATCATGGATTGCTGGGGGGATTAGATAATAATATATATGAAGTATGTAGCAAAGAATCAGGCACTACGGTGGATTCATCATCCCAGTTTGCCTGAGACTTTCTCAGTTTTAGCACTGAAAAGTCCCATGCCTCTAGAAACTCCTCAATCCCAGATGAATTGGGACAGTTGGTCTCCAGCACACACATATATCAGTCATAAAATAAGAGTTCCAAAGATGTTACATCTTGAAACTCATTCTTTTTTAACTAGAAAATTCTCATATCCAAAACTTCCTACAGTGATCTACCTTTCAGTCTCAGAAATGAAATAGCGTATCATGGTCTCAGAGGCTTTTTATGTACTTTCAGCCTTCTCTCCAAGACAAATAATATCCTCTCTTCCTACAGCTTCCTGATTGTACGCATCCCCATTCCCCAAAGAGATAAAGCTAGTCTCCTGCCTGATGCCAAATAACTAAAATGCTGTTAAATTTCCCACATTCCCAATCTAATTGAACAGCCTTTTAGTCATGTTCACACTAGGGCTTAGTGGCAGTGAGAGGTTCAATGAAAGCCCAGAGACACTCTGGTCCAGGACAAGAGAGATCTTTGGGATATAGGGATAGATGTTTTGAGGGTAGGGGAACTTAACTACATCTCTACTCCAAGAGAAATTGAAAAATGAGAATTTTTGTTAAGAATAATATTCTCCAAAACAGGATGTCTACTAAAAGGTGAGAAAAGAGCTCTACTACTAGTAGAATTAGTAACAATGAGAGTAAACAATTGTTATCCACTCTAAAAATTGAGTAAACAATTGTTACCCACTCTAAAAATAGAGCAGAGGCCAAACGCAGTGGCTCAAGCCTGTAATCCCAGCATTCTGGGAGGCCGAGGCAGGTGGATTGCTTGAGTCCAGGAGTTCGAGATCAGGCTAGGTAACATAGCGAGACCCCCATCTCTACTAAAAATAAAAAAAAAATAGCCGGGTGTGGTGGTGCACAACTGTAGTTCCAGCTACTCAGGAAGCTGAGGTGGAAGAATCACCTGAGCTTGGTGGGGGTCAGGGCTGCAGTGAGCTGAGATCCTGCCACTGTACTCCAGCCTGGGGAACTGGAGTGAGACCCTGTCTCAAAAAAAAAAAAAATATACCAAGCTACCTACTAAGGGGCATACATTTCCCACCAAATTAATTCAGTCCTTTGGTAAGTTATAGGTGTGGTGGTTTACTGTACCTTTAATCATTAATGAAAACTTTAGTTGCCCATTCCTTTTTGGTGTCATGCAGCCATTGAGGTAATTTGCACACTGTGATGTTTTACCAGTCCAGCTCCATACACTCCAGTGTAAGTAGGCCTCCAATTTACACACCTTACTTACATTCATAATATAGTTTTATTTGTACAGAAATAGCAGTAACAATCCGGTATCTAATATCAATCTAATATCTACTTCTAATACAATTTGATAGCATGCTTGTATTAAACCATTTCCCTCAGTCATAAGTTGCAACACAACTCCCATCTGCACACCCTCTTTTTTTTTCTTTTCTTTTTTTTGAGACAAGGTCTTGCTCTGTCGCCCAGGCTGAAGTACAGTGGCACGATCTCAGCTCACTGCAAGCTCCCCCTCCGGGTTCATGCCATTTTCCTGCCTCAGCCTCCCGAGTAGCTGGGACTACAGGCGCCCGCCACCACGCCCAGCTAATTTTTTTGTATTTTTAATAGAGATGGGGTTTCACCATGTTAGCCAGGATGGTCTCGATCTCCTAACCTCGTGATTCACCCACCTCAGCCTCCCAAAGTGCTGGGATTACAGGCGTGAGCCACTGCGCCTGGCCCTGCACACCCTCTTATCAATAAAAGCAACCATATTTTCATGTATGATGTACATATGCATACACTTCCATTTTCTTTCCCTCTCCTATTCTGAGTTGCTGACCCTGAAACAGCCTGTTTTCTCCTACCTGGTGCTAAAATACTTACAAGCACTCCCTGACCCTCCCACACTAGGTCCATATTTGCTTCTCTGGGAGAAATAGTTGGGTTGCCCCACGTTTAAAAAAAAAAAAAAAAAAAAAAAACCACCTCATTTGTTCAGGGAAGAGCAACTGAGGTGTTCTCTGAACAGGTCTTTTTCCCATTCTAGTTAGAGGGACTTCACCTAGATATTCCAGGTGAATGAGTGCTACATTGCCTAATATACCAGGTTCAAAAAATATATCTCATGACAAGAAACAAAATGGAGGGAAGATCAGACCCCATCGTAGAGGGGAAAATATCTTTTTTTTTTTTTTCACATGGTCTGGCTTTGTTGCCCAGACTGTAGGTACATGATCCTGGCTCACTGCAGCCTTGACCTCTTGGGCTCAACTGATCCTCCCACCTCAGCCTCCTTAGTAGCTGGGACTACAGGCATGCACCACCAAGCCTGGCCTCCCAAAGCGCTGAGATCACAGGTGTGAGCCACTACACCTGGCCCAAAAAGTCTTTATGACTCCTTCCTAAGAATATGTTAACCGGCCGGGTGCAGTGGCTCACACCTGTAATCCCAGCACCTTGGGAGGTCGAGGCGGGCGGATCACAAGGTCAGGAGATAGAGACCATCCTGGCTAACATGGTGAAACCCCGTCTCTACTAAAAATACAAAAAATTAGCCGGGCATGGTGGTGGGCGCCTGTAGTCCCAGCTACTCAGGAGGCTGAGGCAGGAGAATGGTGTCAACCCGGGAGGCGGAGTTTGCAGTGAGCCAAGATCGTGCCACTGCACTCCAGCCTAAGAGATAGAGCGAGACTCCTTCTCAAAAAAAAAAAAGTTAATCTTCACCTACCCGTTAACTTTTTACTCTGCCTTCCGTTTATTCCACTCTCCCTAAAACTGGAATAGAAAATATAGGAACAGGCCAGGAGCCGTGGCTCACACTTGTAATCCCAGCACTTTGGGAGGCTGAGGCGGATGGATCATGAGATCAGGAGTTCGAGACCAGCATGGTGAAACCCAGTCTTTACTAAAAATACAAAAAAAATTAGCCAGGCATGGTGGTGCGCACCTGTAATCCCAGCTACTCATGAGGCTAAGGCAGGAGAATCGCTTGAACCCAGGAGGCGGAGGTTGCAGTGAGCTGAGATTGTGCCACTGCACTCCAGCCTGAGTGACGAGGCAAGACTACATCTCAAAAAAAAAAAAAAAAAAAAAGAAAAGAAAGAAAATATGGGAACAAAAGAGAGGAACAGGAAACAGAAGGGTACTCACCATCACTGCCAGCTGTCTATAGGCCTTCTTCAGTTCAACATCTGATGCTGTGGCCTCAACCCCCAGTACATGGAAAGGGTTTAGCTCATCCTCAGGAACCCCAGTCATGGTCAAGAGTCGAGCCACTTCCTCTTCAGGCTGGCAGTAGCGCCCACTAGCTACAGGTGCATTCCCCTGCCTATTAGTATTCTGCTTGACCCAAGGCAACTCCAGCCAGCCCCACTGAACTATTCTTACCAGCCGCTGCCATGGCCTGCTATCTCTCAGCAGAGTCAAGCAACGCTGCAAGGCTGGGGAATCCAGCCAAGAGAAGAGCCAGGTGGCCTTATCCCTCCAGCCTAACCGGTCACCTAGTCCCACCAGAAACCGCCATCCCAACTGTAGAAAGCCCAAAAAGACAGCCAGAGCCAGGAGCAGCAAAGCACCCAGCAGCTTAAGAAAACGGGTAAACAATCCTACTCCACAGTAAAAACCCTGGCTTAGAAACTGAAACATGACCTGGGCCCAGCCCCCCAGCCGCCCTGTCCAGACTCCCATCCAAACTCGAAAAAGGTCCAAATCACTGCTTTTCAGCTGCCTGCATGCATAGATGAGATGGCCACAAGTTTCTACGTACTCTCCCACCAATACCAGCAGTTCAATCAGCCACCAAAAGCCTGCCTGTCCAAGTTGACACAGTTCCTCAGCTCCCCACAATCCCAGGCCTCTGCGCTTATCTGCCTGACTTCGTTTCCGGCCCAGCCGATGTCGACCAGGGGACCTGGGATCCCTTCGTCCACCCTCCCGAGTATCCTCCTTGGTTGGAAAGCGGTGCCGCTGTCTCCGGGATGTGGGTTTCTTTCCGCTGGACACACGTGAAAAATCACTGGGGAACTTAAGAGATTCTTCTTCATCATATTCCTCTTCCAACTCTTCATCTTCCCCCAAGGCTGGAGAGGTACAGTGGTGGCAAAAGTTACTAGAAGAGCCATTTTCTCCCTCAGAGTAACGCCCTTCTGGAATTCCAGGTGTTCCCTGGCAGTTGCAAGCAGATGGAATGGAAAGAAAAGAAGGGTTCCCATCCTCCTGGTACCCCGCCTCATCTTCTTTTGAGAGTTCCTGGTCCACTCCTGACTCTTCTTCTGACGATGTCTCACTCTGGTCAGGGTCCTCTGCATCTCTAGGTGGTCCTGGACCCCTTGGGGGGCCATGGCTTGGGTCCAACCAATGGGCTGGGTTTGGGTGCTGTGTGTACTTAGGACCAGAGTGCTCTGTGAGGCAGCGGGTACCATTAGGAGCAGTCCCTGCTGAGTCCCTGAGTCCTGAGAATGAAGGTATTTCAGGGTCCACGGAAGGTCCTAAAGTCCTGAGGGAGGCACCACCACTATGGTGGGCTCCACACAACCCTCTTTCTCCGGGGTGCTTCTGGGCCATGACCCCAGGGCTTCCTGAGGGTCTTAGGTCACAGCCATCATGGTGTGTTCTGATGCCTGTAACAGATGTCAAGGTGGAGACGGTCAAGGATGAGACCAAGAGAGGAATTAAACAATCTAAAGTAGTGGACACATTTAATTCATCCACCTCCCTTGTTTTCCCAAGTTCTTTGGGGGCATTCGCTATTCCTAGCAATAAGCCAAAACTAGACTCACCACAACCCTGCTTGCTCCCTCCCCTCTCCTCCAAATCACCTAAGTTTTTCTTCTTTCCCCAGAAAACTATAACCTTCAATCAGGGAAAAAGGGAGGTACCGTAAAGGGTGTGGTCGGGGGAGGGTGGGTCACTCTTAGGAAAATGGGAAAGGCGGCCGGATAGGGGGCCACAGACTGCCAGTAAAGGGTGGGGGCCGTGCGGCCCTGGAGGAAAATCTGGGGGCGGAGCTTAGGGCTGCCCCTAAGAAAGACTACCAGCGAACCCACCGGCTGTGTAGAAGGGACGAAGGTGGCCGGGCACGGTGGCTCACGCCTGTACTCCCAGCACTTTGGGAAGCCGAGGCGGGCGGATCACGAGGTCAGGAGTTCGAGACCAGCCTGACCAATATGGTGAAACTCCGTCTCTATTAAAAATACAAAAATTAGCCAAGCGTGGTGGCGCGCACCTGTAGTCCCAGCTACCCGGGAGGCTGAGACAGAAGAATCGCTTGAACCCGGAAGGTGGAGGTTGCAGTGAGCCGAGATCGTTCCACCGTACTCCAGCCTGGGCGACAGAGCGAGACTCCATCTCAAAAACAAGCAAGCAAACAAACAAAAAAAATAAAAACAAAAAAAACGGACGTACCGAAGAACGGCGGTAACTCCTCCCCCTCGAGCCGCCCGGCCTGGGGCCAGGGTGAGCTACGAGAGCCGCTCTCCCGGCTCCGCCTCCCGCTCACGCTCTGCTTCCGCCTTCCGTCCCCGCCGCCGCCGCCGACCTGGCCCTACTTCCACTTCCGGGGTCACCAGGGAAGAGACGGGAAGGAAAAGAAATAGTGGTTGGCTGAGAGGCGAGCCAGTCCAGCTAGTGCTGCGTCGACTCCAAGGAGGCGGTCCTAAGGAAGTACTGGCTCCGCCATTTAAAGACCCCTCCCTCCGCGTGTGGGAATAGGATTCCCGCAGGTTGCACCGCTGGAAGGCAGGCAAGTGGGCTCTGCACCAATGCCTGCAGACTAAGGGCAGACTCTCAGGGTTGCTCTGGGTGTATTCCTGGGCTTTGTATTCCTGGGAGATGGAGGGCAGCCACCGAGCCACACGTAGTCTGTTTCCCTTGCAGACAAAACCGGGGAACTCAGAAGAGTCACTGCCCTGATCCCTTCCGTGCTGGCAGCTGCGAGGACAGAGGCCCCTTTGTATCCTGCGGTGCGGAGGTGGAGCAGAGGAGAGGGTGCCCCGGACTGGCCCCCACCCTCGCCCTGCAGCGCTGCCCCTCCTTTCACAGCAACCCACGGCCTCCCCCTCGCTTGACCCAGCTGGCGAGCTGCCCCTTATACCTGGATCCGCCCCTTGGGACGCAGCTCCCCTGGCCCGATCACCGAGCGGTGCCTAGGAACTGGGAGCGTAACTCAGCTCGGCTCAGAACCTTACCCGAGAGCCAAAGAATACTGAACTCATCTACATGCTGCTTGACATCTTATCTGCATACCAAGCTATTTGGTGGACGTCCACATGCGCCCCCGACTCCCGTTCCGTCGGTGCCCTCCTCTGCACACGGCTCTAGCCTTATACCTCTCCTGTCAGTGCCCCTTCCAGGCCCCGTCTTGATCCGAAAGTTTTTCCACCCATGAACCCCCCGCTGGCGCTCCCAGCCTAGCAAAAGCCCCTTCCCTGGGTCCACGATCCCGACCACCCGGCTCTCCAGAAGACAATACTCCAATTCTCTGGGAAGTGGAAGAAACCAAGCTGGAGCTAGGGGGGCGCTGGGACCCCTATTGGGGCTTTGAGAGCTTCCGGTTGTCATCTCCTAAGTATTCGGAGACCCTTCTCTGAAACTCTTGGGGTGACTCTCAAGACTCTTACCTGCTATATAGTTGGGGGTCTCTGGTCCTGGACTAGAGCAGTAGGCAACCTAGGTCCCCACACACACAGGGGAAAGAGTTGGAGGGGCCTGCCTTGTGATGTCACCCCCCCTCCACCCACCGCGGACGCGCGGGCGCGCGCGCGCACACACACACACACACACACACACACGCACGCGCAAACACACACGCCCTGTCCCCTTTCTCTACCCCCCAAGCTAGTTGCATTTAGCTCACAGAGCCTGGGCTGCGACTTGAAAGAGTTTAGGCAGCAACAAACAGAGTGGCCCTGGGGGTGCCCTCGACCGACAGCCGACCCCTCGGCGTCTAGGACCTCCGAGCGGGGATGCAGCTGGGGGTCTAGGGAAGCACTTCCACCCCCTCCTCCTCAACCCTGGCAGGGTGGTGAGTAGTTAACATCCCCTCCCCAACCCCCATCTTGTTCAGGGTCCCCAGACTTCCAAGCAGATTGAGGAGAGGAGCTCCGAAAGCCAACCCTCCAGCCTGTAAGGACCTTGATATCCAAAGGACAGCTGAAGGAAGTAAAGCGCCTGCATTTATGCCACTTCATTCCCACAGTGCCCGAATGCCAGCTCCTCCTTGGTGTTCTCCTTTCAGGATCTGAATTCAAATCCCATTGGCAGCCCTGATACCGCTGGGGGAAGGGTAAGGTAGGAAAATTCCCACCAGTATCCTAAGGGGAGGTGCGAGTGGCTACCAGGATGTGAGATGTCTGTGGGCAAAGTCCTTGCTTATTCTATGAGGGGCTGTGGGATTAGGACTGTGGCTGGATGCCCCTTCCTCCAACAACTCCATCTCAGCATGAAGCTGAGGCTTTAAAACCCTGGCAAACTGTGGGTGTGTCTCTACTTAATTCCTCCTTCCAAACTCTTGGTGTCTGGTTTTTTCCCTCTTTCTGCCCTGTGGCTGGAGGAGCTGTCCGGAGACCCTACCATGACTCATACTGTCCTGGTCTCCCTCCCTCTCCCCTCTCTATTAACCTCACCCTTCCCAATCTCGTGAGATAGTATTAAGTCCCAGTCGCAGATAGGGCAATAATGTCCCTGCACCCCTCCCTCCACACATCCAGGGCTTCCTGTTCCTTCCATCCTCACCCTGAAGAGCTGCAGGGTGTTGGGGGCAGGCAAAGGCTCATTACTTTGTAAGATTTTCATTATTTTATAAGATTTCCTTTTACATTTTACTTAAGTGTCCTTGTTTTAGAGAGTGGTAAAGACAGATCCTGCTCCTCTCAATCCAATCCTATAGATTTCTTCAGTTACCTCAACAGGGTCATACTGGCTTCTGAAATGGGCACCATTATTTAAAGTAAATAGAGGTACAGAATCCTCAAGATTTATGGATACCTAAGTTTCTGTCCCGTGCCCCCCTGCAGGTTTCCCTATCCCCTAAAGACATTCATGGATGGATGAGAGGAGCTGACATCTCCCCCTCTGTGACCACTTTCTCTTTGGCCCTGGAGGAAGTCTTGCCCCTGGCTGTGACATCTGACCCCAGGCCCTTTAATCAACAACTCCCAGAGCCTCCAGACCCAAGATGTGTTTTGGAACCCCAGGACAATCCTGAAGTGGCACCTGCCCTGGTGTGTGCCCTTTGCTGCTGCTTTGGAATCATCTACTGCTGCTTCGGTGAGGGCAGGGCCAAGGACCTAGGGGGCCATTACCCGAGACTGTCACCCTCAAGGATGATGCCAACTTTCCTCCTTGCTCCTGAGCCATCTCACCTCTCTGCCAGGAGTTCCTACCTCCAGTGTGGCCCATGTTGCTCTGGCTGTATTCCTAGGCCTATGTCGTTGCTCTTGCCAGCTTCTTGTCCATCCTCCATGCCCATGCCTTCTAGCTCTCACTTCTGGCATCTATCATTTGCCCTTCTCTTACCTCCTACCTGAAAACCCCATTCCTAAATTATTCTCTATGTTTCAGGCTTCTTCACTCTTCCCCAAAAACCTGAATCAGCTTGTGCTGATTTTTTCCTATCTGCTATCCCTGAAAGGACAGACCTTCTTTCTATCCTTACTCCCCTCAATGTATCCATCTTACCTCTTGATTTTCCCTCCCATTCCCTCACAGTTCTGGAAACAGTGACCCCCCCGACCCTAAGCTACCCCTTTCTGCCCCTGGGCTTGAGGTCTCCTGACATGCTGCTCCTGTCTTCTGCTCCTCTAGTGAGCCATTCCTCTCCCCTGGAATTCATCAGAGTCATCCCCATAGAGCCCCCTTCCTGCCTCTCAGTGCCTCCTGCCTCACTTCCCAGGCTACCGCTGCTTCAAGACAGTGATGTTTCTCTCCGGTCTGCTGTCGGGAGCTTCCTACTGTGCCACAAGGTGCGGGTGCTGGAGACACAGCTGAGCCTGGAAATGAGAGTGGGCATTGCTGTGGTCATCACCACAGCACTCTCTACATAGACCACTCCTCTACGGCGTGGTCACCATGCTGGTTCACTGTGTTGGGCTCTTATTAACTGGTCTCCTGCTACGCCTGACCTTGGGTGCTGGAGCCCTGCTCTCCACTGAGCCTATCTACCAACCACCTTCAGCATGGGTGCCAGCTGGGGGGCTGCGGGGGCCGGCGCTGCTGGGAACCCTGCTCACACTTGGTTGGTCACGTCCATTCACAGTTCTGGGCACAGCCCTGCTGGGTTCTGCAGTGTTTGTGGCCTATGCTGACTAATTCCTGGAGGGGCTGGCACTGGGCAATCGGCTGGGCCAACGCCTGTAGACACTTCCACCCTTGTCTTCTCTCTGCTGATATAGCTGGGTCTTACTGGGGATTTGGCCAGCCTTGAGGGCCCTTGGGGCCCTGGCCCAGTGGAAGCTTATGCCTGGGGAACATGGAGGCCATACCAGTGGTGAGTTAGTGCTGTGGTACAGAAGCAAGGTCATGCCTGAGGAACATGGAGGCCACACCAATGGTGAGTTAGTGCTGTGGTACAGAAGCAGCCAAACTGTGCCTACTTATGTCCCCAGTTCCTACTTGAGGAGGGGAAGGGGAGAAATACATTTGAGGAAGGAGAGTGGGGGAGGATGTCCAAGGTGAATGGGGCAGGGCACTGAAAAAAAAGTTGAAGGAGTCAGGGGAAGCAGGAGAGAGTTGCAGAAGGAAAGGAGGATCTCAGGGAAGTCTAGGAGGAAAGAATAGAATTCCAAAGAGTTTCTTTTAGAATAAATGGGGGACCGGGCGTGGTGGCTCATGCCTGTAATCCCAGAACTTTGGGAGGCCAAGGCGGGCGGATCACGAGGTCAGGAGATCGAGACCATCGTGACTAACATGGTGAAACCCTGTGTCTACTAAAAATACAAAAAATAAACTAGCCAGGCATGGTGGCGGGCGCCTGTAGTCCCAACTAGTCTGGAGGCTGAGGCAGGAGAATGGTTTGAACCCAGGAGGTGGAGCTTGCAGTGAGCCGAGATCACACCAGTACACTCCAGCCTGGGTGACAGAGCAAGAGTCCGTTTCAAAAACAAAAAAAGAATAAATGGGAGGAAGATGAGGCTTGAGAGAAACATAACAGGAAGGTCAAATGGGTTTCTTTAGAGTGTATTAGGGTAGGATTCAGGTCTAAAGGGGCCTCCTTGAGTCTGTATTGCCCCCTTCTAAGCAGTGGTCTTTTTTTTTGAGACAGTCTCACTCTGTCACCCAGGCTGGAGTGCAGTGGCATGATCTTGGCTCACTGCAACCTCCGCCTCCTGGATTCAAGTGATTCTCATGCCTTAGCTTCCCGAGTAGCTGGGATTACAGATGTGCACCACCATGCCCGGCTAGTTTTTGTATCTTTAGTAGAGACAGGGTTTCACCATGTTGGCCAGGCTGGCCCTGAACTCCCGACCTCAAGTGATCCACCCACCTCAGCCTCCCAAAGTGCTGGGATTACAAGCGTGAGCCACCGCACCCGGTCAGCAGTGGTCTTAAGCCACCAGCAAAGGCATCTCCAACTCCTTCCGACCCTTTAGCAAAAGGCCAAATGGCACTGGATCCCCTCTGGGGTGGGGCTTTGTGAGGGCAGCTATCGGCACCAGCTCCCTGCCAATACCTGGAGCCCTGCTGACAGTCTCACTCCAGTGAGTGGGGGGCTTGGGGACACCCTGGGCAGATGGAGCAGAGGGCATATGGGGATGGTCAGGGTGGGAGGGGGGCTCTGACCCAGGCCCCTCCTTCCTCTCTGCCCTGTGTCCCCCCAGCGTTATTTCCAGAGTCTTCGAGAGTGCCAACTGGGACCAGGACCCCAGGCCACAGCCCCCTACGCCGTCCTGGACCTGGATTCTGACTGTGGTTCCACTGTACCCCTTACCTGAATCTCTGGTTCTAACCAGACCTGAGCCTGGACTTCCACTTTTGCCCTCACCCCTGTGAGGGCCTGGGAGCACTGGGTGAACAGGGTTTGAGCCACAGGACCTGCACATAAACTTCCCCACCTCTTGGACTTGGGGATAGGATCTGTGCCTCAACCCAGACCAGCCTTGTAGGAATATGTTCCAAGAACAGAGAAGAGTCTTATGGGGAAGGGGGAAGAAGGGAAGTATGAATAGTTACCTCCGACCAATAATAGAGGTACCCTGGTCCCCGAAGAAACTGACTACCGAATTCCCTCCAAGCCTTACCCATACAGTCTTTTTTTTTTTGAGACAAGGTCTTGTTCTGTCCAGTGCCGTGGCGTGATCATAGCTCATGACAACCTTGACTTCCCCGGCCCAAGCAAGCCTCTCATTCAGCCTCCCGAGTGGCTGGGACCACAGGCGCCACACACAGCTAATTTTTATTCATTTGTTTTTATTTTTTTTGCAGAGACAGGGTCTCCCTATGTTGCCCAAGCTGGTCTTGAACTCCTGGGCTCAAGTGATCCTCCTGCTTCAGCTCCCAAAGTGCTAGGATTATAGCCACCGTACCTGGTCTTAAAATAGCCTTTTAAATATCCACCTCAGCATGCCTCACAGTGGTAGAAACAAGCGGTTTTTGTTTTGTAGGATCAGGGAGCTTCTAAGGCATTTGATAGCTTTTTGATGGGAAGAAGGGCTCTGAGGAGCTCCAAGATACCCCCACCTCCAGGCACTTCATTAGGGGGTAGTTGGGTTTCTTTGACCTTCCCCCTGGGCCCCATAGGCTTAAACCCCCACCTCCTACCTCAGCTAGGAGCACTAGCTTCCATGGTGCTTCCACTTTTCTCCTCAACCTGGGGAAGACCACAGGGCAGTGCCTGCCTCAGGACCTGCCTTCCCCAAAAGCTGGCTTCTTGCTCCAAGGAGAGAGCATTGGCCCACCTGCCAGAGTCTTGCCTTTTGCCCAGAGGAGCCTGGTCTTCAAGGCTGCATAGGAGACTAGTGCTTTCTCTGCTTCTCACTGTGGGTGGCACTAATTTCCTCCTTAACCAGAACTTTGTTCCAGCCACTAACCCACTCTAACTCTTCCCCCTCTGACTCTCCTGCCCCAGGTCTGTTCCTGGTTTCCCAGATGCATAAAGGAAGACATATCCCTCCCCTGGGCAGCAAGGCTACAATGGGAGGGAGGGAGAACATGGGAGCATGTGAATAAAATGGCATTACATACTGAACCAGGAGTCCAGCCTCTGCTGTTGCTGCTCTTTTCTTTCTCTGCACCCCAAAACAAAGAGCTAACCATCTTGACAAATCCTCTGTCCCCTAAAGATCTAATAGAGGTACCTGTATCATACAGACTACTGTAAGAGTTATACAACCAGACAGCTAGAGGAAGAGCTGTTCAGTCCTCTCTTATGAACATAGAGTTAGCCTTTATTAAACACAAATGTACCAGACACTGTGCCAGGCACTTCACATACAGTATTTCATTTAGTGCAACAACCCTGCAGGACTGGTCTTAACCTAATGTTGCAAATGGGGAATCTGAGGTTCAACAAGGTTAATTAGCTTGCCCATAACCATAAGCACGTAAATGTGATTCTCAAGGATTCCAAGGCCCTTGCTCAGTTTAGTGGCCATGCTGTTTTCTTGCATTTTATGTAAGAAGAACAGGACCCAGGCATCTGCCTCCACCATTGACCTCCAGAAAAGAGATGACACAGTTGGAAGGGCTGTCTAAGACAGACAGGAAATGGAGTTGGGGGTCAAATCTGAGTTAGGGGAGCACTTCTCAGGATTGAAAGAGCACAGGAGAGTGGTGGCTGGAGCTGGAACTGTTAGAGGCCTGAGTTCTACAGTCATGCCCCTGCTACAGCACCTGCGAGGTTCAACTGAGCAGACAGGTATTTCATTCAGGTATTAGGCCTCTGGGAGGGAATGAAAGGGTGGGTGGTGGAGCCTGAGGGCGTAATGTCCAAGATTGTGTCTGTGGGTGAGCAGTCAGTATTCAAATGTGGTATCTGTGGCTGAGAGAGTGGTATCCAAAGTTGTGCCCATACCTGAAGGAGTGGTATCCCCACCTGATGGGGTAGTGTCTACAGTCTGGGGACGACAGTGCGTCCAGTTGTGGGCAATATTTCTGGGATAGCCTTTCTCTACTCGAAGCTGCTGGTTGAGGCGCCAGTAGACTTTGCCTTTGAAGAAGAAGACTCGGCCATCTTGCCAACTCGTAGCAGCTGAAGGCTGGTTTGGTACTCCCGTAAACAAACCCTTGATTGGTTTGGGGTAGCTGCTGAAGTCAGTTCGGGCCAGCTCGTCCCACTGCCAGTACCCGGAGCCCTGGATATGGGATGGGTGGGGAGAGGAAGAGGAGAAAGCTTAGGACCCCCAGAGGTCTACCCCCAGCCCAGTGCAGCTGCAGAACATCTCCCTTCAAGCACAAGCTTCGATTCTCAGTATAAGGTAGCCCACCCCTCCTAAGAAGGGATTTGCCCTTGCTTTGAACTTTATACCTTAAAGAGGAACACCTTTTGGTTGAGAGGCCAATAGAAAGCTGCATCCAGGTTAGGTTCTACCCTATTCAGCTTCTTGGGGAAGCCAGGAGACATCTTGAAATTAACGTAGCGCCACACCTTGTCTCCTGAGAGCATGTGGGGAGAGAACAAGTCACCTCTGTCCTCAGGTGATAGCTTTTGGTCTCCTCTGGTCCACCCATTCAGAAACTTCTCATTTCCCTCCCTTTTATAGTTTAAGATTAGGTCCTCCTCAAGTAAGATACTGTAAACTAGCCCCCTTACCCTTAAAGAAGTGAATCCATTGTGTTCGAGGCGAATAGACAGCAGCATCTAGGTTTCCGGGGAGCCCCTCCCAAAGGGCAGACACTCAGAACAAGGGGCCTGGTCCTGAATCTGATACAGTCCACACGTAGTCCCCCTTGAAAGCACAGGTCGTCCCACGGGGCCCTTAGAGTAATGGTGTGTCAACAAGTCAAAAAGACAAAGGTCAAGTAGACAGAAACTTGGGGGTATCTCAGGCTGACTAACAATTTGCCCTCCCCCTGCAGGCTGATTCTTCAAATATTCATTCAACTTTGATTCAAGGAGAAAATTAAAGGCAGAGAAAGAGGACTCAGAATGCTTTGTTGCTCAGATCATTTCAGCTTTGGTCTACTCAACAAAACAAAAGTCCTGCAGATAGCTATTCCTCCTTAGGAACCTCAGCCTCCCCTCCAAGTGGCTTCCTAGTTGTCCTTCCAACCAGGTGCAACACCCTCTCTAACAGGCAATCTGGTTAATGTAGTTTTCTCCATCTTGCTGCATTTCCAGATGTGTTCTAGTGGCCCTAGAGGGTGGCAACCTTGGTAAGTGCCTGCCTAAGCCACCTTTAATTTGGCTCTGAACTCTCCCTCCCCATGTCACATGTCTCCTTCCATGGTCATTAATGCCTGGGATCTAACCTCCATTGCTCATGCTGAAGTCCCATGTCACTCCCATATGTCCAGGCCTCAGGATCAGCAGGCTGCCCCCACTGCCTGCCAACAGCCTGGAGGGGAAGGACCTCACCCAGCATCATGGCATCCAGTTCACTACTGCAGGGGTCTGGCATGGGACTGGGTTCTGTGGGCACTGGGGACACAGTGGGCAGCTCTGTCTCTTCTTCTTCCTCATCCTTTATCACTGGACTCTTCTTGCCTACAAGGTAAAGTCATGCTGCTTAGGGAGAGAACTCACGGCACCTGTCCTCTGCACCAGTCTCCTGTAAGTTTTGCCCAGAGGCCCCATACAGAGGGGAGAAGGGAATCCTAGAGCATTGTCATTCGTGGTAGGCAATATTATGTTGGTATCAGTGGAAGACACATTGTAGGTTTGAGAAGCACCAGAAAGGGAGAAGGAGGATTGTTAGAATGTGCATTCTTGCCGGGTGTGGTGGCTCACACCTGTAATCCTAGCACTTTGGAAGGCTGAGGCGGGTGGACTGCCTGACGCTCAGGAAATTGCAAGAACCATGGCGCCCGTGGGCAAACATGGTCGACCCAACGCGCCGGTGTCTCTACT